GAGAGAGAGAGAGAGAGAGAGAGAGAGAGAGAGAGAGAGAGAGAGAGAGATGAGCGATACAAGTTTGGTTGTCACATACCTGTGAAGCGAGTTGTGCAGTTCCACGTGGAGGAAGAAGAAGCGGCCATAGCCGCGGAGCGTCACCACGCAGTAACGAAGGAGGGAGAGAGACCGGACAGAGGGTTAGAGACCGGGAAGGGAGAGAAGGCGGCCATAGCCGAGAGGTGAAGAGAAGGCCGATCAAAAAAAAAAAAAAAAAGAAAGAGAGGAAGAAGACAGCCGGGGTGAAAGGAGGTGAGGAAGGTGAGAGGAAGAAGAGGGTTGGCGAGGAAGACGAGCCAGCAGCCATAGCGGACCGGAGGGTTGACCGGAGGTGTTGACCGGCGGTTACTGGAGTTGACCGGGAATTGACCGGGGCTGATAGCAGCGTTGACCGACGTTGACCAAGGTCGTTGACCAAGGTGTTGACCAAGACTTTGACCAAGTTGGAGCCGGTAACATCTCGCCAAGCCTTCAGCCTATCCCTCGCCCTATGGATGTGCACACACCCCTTGGTACTTGCTGAGTCCAGTCTGTATGTCTATTCTTTCTGCATTGAGTCTCTTCTGTCCTAGGTGATAGTACTCTGTGGATGAAGGATAGGGTCTTGTTGACCAAACCCACACGGGATGAGTAGGGCTAAAAGTTGTGTTTGACGACTCGACTGTCCCGGAGGTCAAACCCTCCCAAGGATCGGTACTAACCGGCGGGTTGCTCGGTGTGGCACGGTAGGCCTCAAAATCTGAGCTGTGGGCTGTCCCCCTGAAGGCCCTCGTTCGCATCCCCTGACCATCTCACCTGCTCAATCCAGCCTCCTCTTTCCCCTCCCAACGATTCTTGGCAGAATTTAGTGATGCTTTCTTTAATGTCCTTTGGTTGCTGAAAGAGGTCTAGCTTGCGTTTTACTGTCTGCCATCTATCAGTTATGTCCAACTGGAGTTGATTTTTTAGATGCTCGCGCACCTCCTCCCCCTCCAATCGTACTTCTTCCATTGTCAAAACACATCTTTGCCACCACAGCGTCCATAAGATTGTTTGTCTCCCCAGGTCAAACATATTATTCGCAAATTCCTCTTCGGGCCGTCCTGGCCAAGAGCCTGTTAGGATGACCCGCCAGTCCCATGGCCAGAGGGATCCAGGGACTATGTGCTGCCAGATCCGGTCCCACCAGCTCCAAGTGAGGGCGGCGTTCGGGCACTATAGAAAGATGTGCTCAATGGTTTCGGCCGCTTTTTTGGCCGGGTACCCTCGGAGGCATCTGCTGCACCAGGGGAGAGCGCGGCCCTGCTGTTCCAGCCTGGTGGGGTCAATCAGTCGTCCTGTCTGCGACGTTAAATAATTCCTGAGGAGTTCGGGGGATCTCCTTAAATGCCTCCTGATCAGCAACAGGTCTAGTAGTGACAGCCATAGTTAGGTCTAGGCTAGAGACCATAGTTGGCAGGATCCTTGTCAGGATTTTGTAAGCCCTTAGATTGAGTCAATAAGTTTGTCAGTAAGGGGTCAGAGTCTACGTGGTGAGGTTTGGAACCACTAATCTGGTTGTACACTTATCACCATGGTTGAGACCCGTAGTGGGCAAGACACTAGCCCCTACACCAAAGAGCAGCAAGAAAAGATGGCCGCCTTAGTGAAAGAAAACAAGGAAAGGAAGGAGCGCGAGAAGCAGGCGAAGTTAAAGGCTATCGCAGAGGAGCAAGCGGCCAAGATGAAGGAATTGGAGGAGGAGATGGAGAAAAAGAAGAAGGCTGCTGAAGAAGAAGTGGTAGCAGAAGAAGAGAAAGAGAGAATGCGTATTGAGAGTAGAGAGGGGAGTAGTGGCACGAAGAGGGATACAGACGCAGAGGTGGAGAGGAGAATAAGTGAGTGGGTTGCTAATTTATCGTTGGGAGAAGATGAGGAGGCAGAGTCCTATGTGACTCAGGATGAGAGAGAAGCGTTGGCCAATGAGCTAGCAGCAATGGAAGATCCGATGGAACGGCGAGAAAGGGAGGAGGAGCAGAAGTTGGCAAGGAAGTTGAGGATGAAGAGGGAGAAGAAGCGGAGGAGAGAGAAAGTCAACAAATTGACCGCAGAGGTGGCAAAGTTGCAGGAGTGTAGGAAGGAAGTGTTGGCCCAGCCAGATGACAAGGCCAAATGGGATAAGGTATTGGGCTACCTAGAGGTGCTGAGCACCGCATGGATGGAAGAGCGTCAAGCTAGTTGGAGCCAAGAGGTAGCCCTGAGTGCCATGCGGTCAGGATTCAGGGACTTCGCACGCGAGATCGTCACCCACATTGGGAGCGAAGTTAGGCAATTGAGGGACAACGTAGGGAAGTTTTGCGAGGGCGCCATTGAAGGTGCCAAAGCAATAGCCGCTGTAGAGGGCGAGGTCAGACCCCGTAAAGAGCCTGTAAAGCTCAAGTTCCCAGACGTATACGGGGGGAAGAAGGAGGCGAACTTTGACGACTGGGAGGCCAGTGTCAATAGTTACATATATCTACAACACATCCTGTCAGAGGAACAAGTCCTCGTGGCATTCCAGGCCCTTAAGGATGAAGCGGCCAGTTTCGCTAGGTCCCTTGCGCGCGCAGCCGGTTGTGAAAACAACCTGGTTGCATATTCGAGAGTCACCCCCCTTCCTCAATTCTTTAAGCTCCTGAAGGAGTGATTTGCAGACCCAACGAGAGGCGTTCACGCCTCTGATAAGCTACAAACGATCCACTCACGACAGTGGAGGAGTGCGAGAGCACTCAAGGGCACTATGGACGACCTAGTAGCCGTCCCAGACCATGGGGTCACTGAGACCCAATTGGTCCAGTTGTTTTATCGTGCCATGCCAGAAGCCCTGCGTGGGCATTTCTTTGACAAATTTCAACAGGCCGACATCACTTATGATGCATTGAGTAGAGAAGTCGTCCTGTATGAGTCAAAATCCATGCCAGTTACCACCTTCTGGCACAAGGACTTGGATAAGGGAAAAAGGTGGAAGGGTCGTACCATCTCAGGCCAAGTGAGGGCCAAGGATCACATGATCCTTACTTTAGAGGAAGGTGGTACTGATGAGGTCCCATACAGTTAGATTGAGTGGGCCCTAGAGGAGGAGGACAGTAGTATGGGGCAGGGGAGGTCTTATGCTGTTGTCGCGGCTGGAGGGAGGCCGCAAGGTAGGGGAGGAGGCCAGGGCCAAAGGGGCCAGACCATGGGAGGCCGAGGACCGGGCGCACAGGGGGTTGCGGACAAGGAAACCGCCAAGTCGGAGGTAGGGGTCAAGGTCCCCCGCCAAATCGCCAAGGTTCCAATCGTTCCCCACAGCAACGAGGTGGAAGGGCACCCCAAGGAGGATGGCACCCAGGCTTGCCACAGGGCAGGCCCTGGGAAGATTTGGGCTTGGACCAGGGTTTATGGCAGGAACGCGTGAACTTAGGTCAGCGCGTATTTTGTGGTGACCCAGACCACGTTATAAAATTTTGTCCAAAGTATAGACAGGCCTGTTGGGCTGCCCAGCAGTCAAAAGGCAGCCGCCGGTAGGGGTTGCAACTGCCCCTACTTTCAGGGCATGCGAAGAAGTGAGCGCGCGGGAACAGGACACTCCCAACCCACATGAGCCTATGGCAGAGGTTGCAGGCCCGTGCCTAGCTAGCTGTCCAGAGACTGCTTGTGTTAGCGTCTCTTTAGGCACGCCCCTCACAGGTGTGGCAGAAGAGTTAAAGGAGAGGATGCCAGCCTGGGCCAAGATGAAGAAAGAGAGCAAAGGACAACTGATCTTGGTAGATGTAGAAGTTTTCAGGAGTAGAGTAGGGGCCCTTATAGACTCAGGGGCCACCCGCAACTATATTAGTCGTAGGGCGCTGAAGAAACTGAGGCTAGGATTAAAAGTCCAGAAGCTGGTAGACCCCATAGTCAGTGTCCTCGCAGACAACCGCACGATGCGTGTTGAGGACTATGTAGACGGAGTCCAGGCGTACTTTCGCCTAGAGAAGGATGGGAAGGTGGAGAAAGTTCTCCATTCCCTGACTCTCCTCGTACAGGAAGACCTTCCTTTCGACGTAGTATTGGGAATGGATTGGGGAGAGGCAGCAGGGGCCACACTCCATTTGAGAGAGCATGAGTGTAGGCTCCCTAGTCCGTCAGGTGAGGTTAAGACTGCCCACCTGTTCCATGTGTCCGGTGTAGAGAACACCTTAACACATTGCTGCCTCAGTGCTCCCGCGTTCGCGTGACTAGTGAAAAAAAAGCAGTTAGAAGACCAGGTCTTTGTAGTTTATGTTAAACCTGTCACTGAGGCCAAGGAAAATGATAGTTCCACAGATCCAACAATTGCCAAGTTGCTGGAAGAGTTCAAGGATTTGACTGAGTCGCCGACAGGAGTAGTGCCTCGACCCATCCAACACAGGATAGAAATAGAGCCTGGCAGTAGAACTCCTGAGGGAGCAGTCTACAAGATGTCCCCTAGAGAGTTAGAGGAGCTGCGCAAGCAGTTAGACGAGCTCCTCGAGAAAGGTTGGATCAGGCCCAGTTCGTCTCCTTTTGGAGCACCAGTGTTATTTGTCCCAAAGAAGGAAGGAGAGTTTCGTATGTGTATAGACTATAGGGGTTTGAATGCTATCACAGTGAAGAATGTTGAGGCGCTGCCCAGAATAGACGATCTTCTAGATCCGGTGCAGGGTTGTAAGTATTTCTCCAAGATAGACCTGAAGTCCGGTTATCATCAAATAGAGGTTCATCCTGATGATCAGTACAAGACTGCGTTCCGGACTCGTTATGGGCACTATGAGTTTATAGTGATGCCCTTTGGACTAACCAACGTGCCAGCTACTTTTCAGCGTTGTATGAATGATTTGTTTAGGCCATGGTTAGACAAGTTCGTAGTAGTTTACTTAGATGATATATTAGTTTTCAGTAGGACCCTCCAGGAGCACCAGGGTCATCTGAGGCAGGTCTTGGAGAAACTACGAGAGGCTAACTTCAAGATCAACGCGAAGAAGTGCGAGTGGGCTAAGACACAAGTCCTGTACTTGGGCCACGTATTAGATGGAGATGGCATTAAGCCAGAGGACAGCAAAATCGCGGCGATTAGAGACTGGCCGACGCCTCGCACATTGACGGAGTTGCGGTCGTTCCTAGGCCTAGCTAATTATTATAGAAAGTTTGTGAGGAACTTTTCTACTATCGCCGCTCCCCTGCGCAGATTGCTTAAGAAAGAAGCAATCTGGCAATGGGACAAAGATTGTACGTCTGCGCTAAAGAGATTGAAGCGTGCATTAATAGAGTACCCTGTCCTCAAAGTAGCAGATCCGTTTTTGCCATTTGTCGTCACCACGGACGCAAGTCAGTATGGGATAGGCGTCGTGTTGCAGCAGGATGACGGCAATGGCTATAGACCCGTAGAGTTCATGTCCGCAAGGATGCCCTCAGAGAAGGTAGCCACCTCGACGTACGAGAGAGAACTCTACGCTCTCAGGCAGGCTCTAGACCACTGGAAGCATTACCTGCTTGGGAGGCACTTCAAAGTGTATTATGACCATGAGACCCTTAGGTGGTTAAAGACTCAGGCCAAGATGACACCTAAGCTGACCACCTGTGGACTCACTGCTATCCTACCGTAGTCGTACTGCAATTGCACTGCAGTTTAGTCCACCACTTGACTCGCCACTTCACCACTTGCCCACTTGCTGACCTTTTAGAAGGACTACAACTAGGCTTCTCGAACTCAGTAAGACTTCTACTCTATAGATCTACAAATCAAACCCCTGCTATCTACGGACCTATGACAGACCTACCAACTGTTTACTATTACACAGGTCACAGGTTCAACTATCGGGGTCTGCACAGATACTGTACATGGGTAGGGCGAGGTCTAGGGATCGAACCCTGGGTACTGCATCTGCTATTGTTAAAAGGTGAAAACCGTTTCATGTACAAGGGCTGGGATGTTTGATGGGATGTGGGGACCGAGTCGGAGGACTGCAATGGGTCACGGGGTCTAGGGGAGGTCTTCAAGTGTCTTGATCGGCAGCAAGAAGGAGTCTTCGGAAGTCTTGAGCAGTCCCAGGTCAGCGGCAGCAATAGGGGTCTTGAAGGAGGTCTTGGTCAGGTCGATGATGGAAGCAAGGCGAACTGCAAGGGTCTTGGTCAGGTCGATGATGGAAGCAAGGCGAACTGCAAAGGTCTTGGTCAGGTCGATGATGGAAGCAAGGCGAACTGCAAAGGTCTTGGTCANGTCTTGGTCAGGTCGATGATGGAAGCAAGGCGAACTGCAAAGGTCTTGGTCAGGTCGATGATGGAAGCAAGGCGAACTGCAAAGGTCTTGGTCAGCGGCAAGGGGGGGTCTTCAATGGTCTTCAGCAAGGAGAAACAATATGCTGAGTGTTGATGCATAGAAAGTCAAGAGGTCCATGTTCGATGGCTGTGGGCACGTCCAGTACATGATCTGCAGTGGAGTCTGATTCGGTAGCAAGGAAGTCGCAGACTGGTACATGGTTCCTGTCACAAGTAGCTGCTCCAGGGAGTCAGCGAGGCAGGGTGTCGGCCAGGTGTAGCAGCATGGTGGCCAATCCAGCTGCATAATCTCCATGAACAGTGGTGCAACAAGCCATCGTCCTCGTGCGCATGCCATTAGATCCTTTATCGCCGGCGTCACATCGGTCCACAAGCATTGGACAAGATGGACAAGGAAGTGGGGAGGGCGAATGGGGCAGGGCTAGGCAAGGGACAAGGGCAGATCAGACATCAGGAATCGGGGTCAAGGGCAAGGGTGGTTGTGGCAGGGGTGTGTGTAGAACAAGGTGGCGAGGTTGTAGCAGGGTTTAAGCAAGGGTTCAGGGTTTTAGCCAAGGTATAGGCAGGGGGATAGCTAGGATGCAGGGTGGGAACGATCATAGGCACGGTCAAGTCTCATGGCATTCTTGAGATTTTCAAGGGGTTCCCATGTTGATTCTTCATCCGGGTAGCCTGTCCACTTGACTTTGTATTCTTTGATTGGTTCCGAGTGATTAGCGACTTGGGTTGTTCTTCGGCCAATGATGGATTCCACAGAGAATTCAGGTCCAGTGGGGAGCATGATAGGAGGGGGACGAGGGTGAGGGCGATCAGAGAACTGTGGTGGGGATTCATGGTATTCTTTGAGGTATTCGACATGGAAGACAGGGTGGACACGACTCATGTCAGGGGGAAGCTGGAGTTTGTAATTGACGGGCGAGGTTTGTTCAATGATTAGGAAGGGACCGAGCCACTTGTTTGAGAGTTTCTTGGACAGGACCTGTTCGGGTTCCAAGCGTTTGGCGAAGAGCCAGCCCTTGTCCCCTACTTGGAAGGTGATATCACGGCGATGCTTGTTGGCCTGTTTAGCTTGTTGTTCCTGGGTGTGTTGGATTGACTTGGTTGCTTCTCTTAGGAGACGGTTCATTGTTGCAACCCATTCATTGAGAGAGGGGCAGGGGGAGGATGGGTTGAGTTGAGAGGGGAGCAAGAAATCAAAGGGCAAGCGGGGTGATAGACAAGGTCAAGGTAAAAGGGGGACATGCCGGTGGAGGGGCAAACGACATTGTTGTAGGCAATCTCGGCGGCGGTGAGCAACTGATCCCAATCATGCTGGTGGGGATGGCAATACTTCCGCAGGATTCTTTGGAGAGTATCGTTCATCTTCTCGGTTTGTCCGTCGGTCTGTGGGTGGAATGCAGTGCTGTACCTGAGCGTGGTTCCGTAGGCATGGAAGAGTTGTTTCCAGAATTGGGAGAGGAAGCGGGGGTCGCGATCACTGATGATATTCTCGGGGAGGCCGTGGTGTCGGGCGACATGGTCGAAGAAGATAATGGCAATGTCTTTGGCATTGTGCGAGGTGGTACAAGGAATGAAATGAGCACGTTTGGTCAAGCGGCAAACAATGACATAGATGCAATCATGCCTGCCGTCGGTCTTGGGAAAACTGCACACGAAGTCCATGGAAACAGACTGCCATCGGTGCGTGGCGATGGGCAATGATTGGAGCTTACCGGGTTTGGCCCGGTTCGAGGGGTTGACAGCCTGACATGTGGGGCACGAGCGGATGTAGGCTTTGACGTCGGCAAGGATAGAAGGCCAATGGAAATATTGGGAGATGGTGTCAAAGGTTTTCTGGAAACCAAGGTGGCCAGCAGTCTTGGCGTCGTGGTGCTCGGCCAAGAGCTGGGTGCGGAGGCCACGGGCGTCGGGGATGCAGAGTCGGCGAGTGCCTTTGGTCTTGATGTACAGGAGGTTGTCATGTAGGGAGTAGTCGGGGACGGGGTCGAGGTCGCGGAGTTTGTTGTAGATGGTGGAGAAGTCAGGGCAAGAGAGGTATCCTTGGGTGTAGCGATGGCAGGAGCTGGATGTGGGTCATGGCGGCATAGACTTTCTCGGGGGGTTTGTGATCGGGGCGGCGGGAGAGGGCATCGGCAACGCGGTTGCTCTCGCCAGGGGTGTGACAAATGGCAAAGGTAAATTGGGCAAGGAAGTCTAGCCAGCGGGCTTGGCGCGGGGTGATGTCTTTCTTGGTCAAGATGGAGGAGACGACGGTGTTATCGATACGAATGGTGAAGTATTGCCCGTCGAGGTACGGGCGCCAGACTTTGAGGGCGTGGACCACGGCAAGGAGCTCCTTCTCGTTGGATGGGTAGTTCATTTATGCGGGAAGGAGTTTCTTACTGGCGAATGCGATGGGGTGCTCGTCGGGTGGGCATTGGGAGTGAGTAGGGGAGTCCTTGATGGAGGGGGTTTCCGTGGGGTCGGGGGAAAAGTGTTGGGATAAGACGGCCCCGATGGCAAAGTCGGAGGCATCCGTGGTGACGAAGAAGTGGCGAGTGGGGTCGGCGATTTTGAGTACGGGGGCAGTGGTGATGAGCTCCTTGAGTTTGTCGAAGGCGGCTTGGCGGCGGTCTGTCCAAGCGAAGGGTTCGGTGGCACGGGTGAGCTCATGGAGAGGGTAGGAAACGTCGGAGAAGTTGCGGATGAAGGGGCGGTAGTAGTTGGCGAGTCCCGTGAAGGAGCGAAGTTGGGTTAAAGTGGTGGGAGGGGGGAACTCGACGAGGGCAGAGACCTTTTTGGGGTCCATGCGGATGCCGTCGGCGGAGACAATGTGACCAAGGTATTCTACGCTAGAGGCAGCAAATGTGCATTTGCTGCTTGGCGTAGAATTTCTGCTCACGGAGGATAGCGAGAACTTGGCGGAGATGATCAAGGTGGGACTCGAAGGTGGGGCTAAAATCAAGGATGTCGTCGAGGTAGATCATGACACAGACTTCGAGGAGGTCGCAGAAGATGTGGTTCATGGTGGATTGGAATGTGGCGGGGGTGTTGGTGAGACCGAAAGGCATTACAAGAAACTCGTAGTGCCCGAAGCGGGAACTGAAGGCGGTCTTGTGGGTGTTCTCCTCGCGGATGCGGATCTGGTGGAAGCCACTGCCAAGGTCGATCTTGGTGAAGTATTTGGCTCCATGGAGGTGATCAAGTGGATACTTGTTCTTGATCGTGATCCGGTTCAAGGCGCGGTAGTCTGTGCACATGCGGAGTTCCAAGGTGCCATTCTTCTTGACGAAGAGACAGCTGGTTCCGAAGGGGGAGGAGCTAGGCGTAATGAATCCTTTTTCAAGGAGTTCATTGAGTTGGCGCTTCATTTCTTCGGCCTCGGGGACAGAGAGCTGGTATGGGGGGCGGCAAGGGGGGGAGTGGTCGGGCTCGAGATCGATGGTGTGGGAAACACCTCGGTCGGGAGGTAGTCCAGCGGGCAAGGATTCGGGAAACATGTCTTTGAACTCGGATAGGAGGGCGGAGATCTGAGGGTCAGAGGGGGGGTCTTGGTCGGGTTTGTCCGTTGGAAGCAAGTCCTCGGGACGGTCGCGGTCAATGACAAGGCAATAGTAGGTGGAGTCGGGTGCTCACGGGTCATGTGAAGAAATTGGTGAGGAGAGACGGGGGAAGGGGTGAAGGGAGGGAGAAGGTAGGGGATGTCAAGGGGTGGATCGGGGGGGGTGGAGAGGCGGACGATAGAGGGGTGGAAGGTATAGGGCATGTAGCGGTCGAGCCAAGGAGTCCCAAGTACGATGTCGCACATGAGGTGCATGACATCGAAGGAGACCTGACTGCGAAGAGGGCCGACAGTCATTGTGGTCTCGGGGACTGTGTGGTCGACGACGATGGCTGAGTCCTTATCCCCTAGGCAGATGGTGATCGGGGAATCATAGCCGGTGGAAAAGGGGACTGCTTTGCGGACACAGGCATCCGTGATGAAGTTGCCGGTTGCACCAATGTCGAGAAGGGTCCGGAACTTCACCGTCGATGCTCCAAAGGAGACGGCGACGAACTTGAGCTGGAACTGGGCGGTCCCGGCACAAACGAAGGAGATCATGGTGTTGAGGCGGCGCTGCTGGAGGCCTAATCTAACAAGCCGAGTGTGTCGGTCTTGTTCTTCAACGAGATCGGAGAAAGTGATGGTGGAGGGGTTGGGGAGGAGGGTAGTGGAACATGTGGCCGTGGGGTGCTCAGCCGACGGAATAGAGGACGTCGTCGGGAGGAGGGAAGGCAGAGTAGACTGCGACGCCTAGGGGGTGTCTGGTGTGTAGGTCGTCGCCGGGGGAGGGGTTGGCAAACGAATTGTTGGTGCCAGGACATGGTTACAAGGGGCGGGGGGATAGTGTTCAAGTGGAGGAGGGTCCAGAAGCCGTGGTGGAGGAGGAGGAAGTGGATGTGGGAGGGCTGGTTCTGGTGGGGCGGGAAGCCTGGTGGGTGGAGCGGCCGGTCTTGGGGCAATTGGTTTGCTGATGCCCCAACTGGCGGCAACGGAAACAACCGCCGTTGGCCTGGAGGAAGGCGTGTTCGGCGGGGGTGAGCTTTTTGAGACGAGGGGGTTGGGGGAGGAGGAAGGCTGGGAGGCCAGGCGTTGTCGTTCCATCCTCATGAGATGGACAGCCTGGAAGTCTTCCCCGGTGAATTGGGCTGGGTCAAGGGACTCGGGAGAGGAGTCAAGGCCGTCGTCGGAGGGGAGTGACGAGTCGTCGGAGGCCATGTTGTGGAAAAACCGGGTGCGGTTGGGGGCGGCTGGTCGTTGAGAGCGGAGGTGAGGAAGGCGATCATGGTGGAGAAGGCGGGTAAGGAGATCGGTGAGAGGGAGCTCGGGCTTATGGGCGAGGGCTGCGGCGAGGTGGGGGAAGCATACCTGCTTGATGCGGGAGATGAAGACGTAGTCGGGACGACGGGATGTGGAGGCGGAGGGAGCGAACGTATTTGATGAATCGCTCGGTGGGGCCGGTTTGGCGGAGGTTGCAAAATTGATCGATGTAGTCATCGATGGTCTTTTGCGGACGGAAGGTGGCGATGAGAAGGTCGGCCCATTGAAGGAAGGTGATGCGGGGAAGGCCATTGGCTCGACGGTTGTTGGCTTCGGTTAACCACCATTGAGCGGCGGCGCCTTGGAGGCGGGAGGTTGCGGTGGGGAGCCAATGAGCGAGGGGCATGTTGTGGAGATCAAAGGCATTTTGAATTTGAGAGAGGAAAAGGAGGACGTCCTCGTGGGGGAGGCTGGAGAACGTCGCGATATCGGTGGCGTGGAAGGAGCGGGGAATGTCCCCGTTGCGGGGGACGATGCAAGCGAGGGTGTTGAAGTTGCGGTCGTCGGGAGAGGTGTCGTAGCAGGTGTGATCCTGACTGCGGTCACCAAGGAGGTAGCAAGGAGGAGGTTGGGGTATGGCGGGGTAAACGCCTGAAAGGACTTGGGAGTAAGAGGGGTGGACAGAGGGGACGGTGGAAGTAGTTAAGAGAGGTTGGGTGAGGGGGGAGGAGAGGCGAAGGGGAGTGGTTCGTGTAGTGGTGGAAGCGCTTGTAGAAGGTTGTGAGGAGGGGAGGGAAATGGGAAGGGAAGTGACGGGGGTGGAAGAAGGTGTGGTGGAGGACGGTGGGGGGGTGGTGTTGGAGGATGGGGCCTGGCCGGCTTGGCCGGCGGAGAGGCTTTGGCCAGATTGGCCGGAAGAAGATGGTTGGCCGGTTTGGCCGGCGGGGGTGGATTGGATGGATTGGCCGGCGGAGGAGGGGGGTGATGACGTCATGACGACGGTGATGGCGGGTGTGTGGTTTTCGAGGGAGGTGACGCGATCGGATATGGAGGTCATGGAGGCCTCGATTTTGCGGAGCGAGGCAGAGAGTGCTTGAAACATGGAGAGGAAAGATGTGTTCTCCGCGGTGCCTGGCTGGTCGACAAGCTCGCGGTGGATATTCTCGACGGAATCCACGCGGAGAGAGCCCATGTTGATGCTTGAGGTGCCTTCGGCCATGGGGAGGGACGAAGGTGGGGCAGAGGGAGAAGATCGAGTGGAGGGGACAACGGAGGTGGCAGCAGCGGCGGAGGTGACAGCAGCGGCGGCAGCGGCGGCGTCGGCGGCGGCGCGTTGGGAGGTCTTGGATTGGCGGGGTGGCATGTGGGAGTGGTTTCTAATCCTGATTTAGAAAAATGATGGTTGATTTAAATCGGGATTAGAGGAAGTTGACATGAGAGGGGGGGCGGAAGAATTAAAATTCGGGGGCAAAGTTTTGCGAAAGAAAAATTAAAATCGGAACGTAAATTTCAAATGGAATAAAATTTGGCGGAAAAAAATTGCAGAAAATTCAGGGATAAAACTGAATTTTCAAGATAATGAAATTCGAATTTATTCGATTAATTTTTAAAAGGGAAAAACTCTTGGAAAGAAATTTTAAATGACAATAAAAAAAAATTGGGTTATTTTACATGACAGAATGTAGAAAAATTAAAATTGGAATAAATGGAAAAAAAAAAAAAAAAATTCTAGAATTTGGGGATTTATTTTGATTTTTTAACGAATTTAAATGATAATTATGAAAATAATTTAAATCAAGATTTCCGAATTACTTTGAAAAAAGAAAAGAAATGTTGGAAAAGAAAAAGGTTCAATTCGAGAAAAATAAAACGAAATTTGGAAAAGAAATCCGAGAATTTTCAAAAACGAAATGAAAGTTGAATTCGGATTTAAAAGTTGATTTGGTTCTTTTTCGGGATTTAATTATTTAAATAATTAAAATGTTTGCAAGAAAATTTTTTTGGAAGGGCAATAGGAATTTCAAAAACGGAGTGCAATTTTCGGGTGGAATAAATAAATTTTTAGGGCATTTCCGAAGAAATTGATTTTGAAATGCAAAGTATTTGAAAAAAAATTCGAGATTCAAAAGTATTTCAAAAATTACAGAAAAAGGGGCTAGAGTATAGCTAAATTGATTAATTACAAAAATAATTTTCGAAAGATAATTGACGAGGAAAAGGAAGTACTAGTTGCTAACTATGAAAAAGAAAACTAATTGCTAAAAAAAAACTTTCGAAAATAATTAATTTGAAATCTTATGATGTTTGTTGTGAGAGATTCAATAGTTTATAAGCCTTGTCTTGTGGTGCCACATGTCGTGGGGGGGGTTGGAAGGAACGCGCGGGGTTGTAGCGCGGGGGCGGGTGAAGTGCGCGGGGGGGGGGGGGG